TTGCTAATTATAAAGTAGCATGTAAAATGAATTTAGTTTGACATTAATTTTTTTCTTATTTTAAAAAAGTATTTTAAGCTGAATTATACATACGTTGATAGGTTAACGGATAAGCAATGGTGGAGTCAATACAATTCACATGCATGAAAGTGGAAAATTTTAATGAATAAGAAAAGGTTTCAAAATTTGTGAGAGCAGTTGAATTTTTCGTCGTACTTGACGCGCATAAATTAGTTAAGCAAACAATTTGCCTTAAAATTCTGTCGTTATAATCAACTTAAGAAAATCTCAAGCCTAGGGCCTCTAGGCAATGAATTCATGCACATGGAAAACGCCTTGGTAGGTACTCTACAAGAAAGGAAAGCGTGATTTGTCAAAGGGATAATGGGATAATGGAATGGCAAACCCCTTATTTACATTTTAGATATTTTTTTATAATCAATACTCTAATTAAATTTTCTCTTAATTACCATTTTTTATAATTTGAAACTTATAAAAAATATAAAAATTAATTGTTAAACTCTTTATTTGCATCAAAAATTAAATATCAAACCTCCTATTTGCATATTAACGTTGTTGGTAATTTAAGGGTTTTTTTTTTTATAAATTTTTAAATTATGAAAGATGTTAATAAAAAAATTAATTTAAAATGTTAATAGTAAAAAAGAAAATTATGGGGCAAATAGGTATTTTAGCCTTATAAGATTCCATGCATATATTTGCTCTTTCCTTTCGTTGACACCATGAAATGAAATCATGCATGATGTCATTTCCAAAGCCCCTCCAACTCCATTTGAATGTCAATACCTGGTGGCTGTCCAATTCTTATATAATACATAATGTGGGCATTAATTCCAGCAATCATTTTTGCAAATATTAAAAAATAAAAACAAAAATAAAATGAAATTCATTATAGTTGGTTCAAGCAATAATGATGGATGTAAACTATATCTGTTTGAAAATACAGATTGAGTCTCTGTATTGTCATTTGGACCCAAATGATTTTAATGGATTGCTAATTTGCCGTACCTGTTTAAAGATTATTTTAAAAATAAGGTCATATATGTCTAGCACCTGGAATTAATTTTGGCCTTTTTGATCACCATATATGCTGGTTTGAATCTTAATTTCAACTAAAATTGAGTGTTTTCATAATTCTGCTGCCCACTTGGAATGCTACACATGACCATGGATTCATGATTCAGCTCCCCACCTAATTAGATCTGCATGCTTTATGCACTTGTTTATATTTGTTGATTTCACTAAGATTAAGGGAATCACAAGGGTGCACCGTGCACATTAGTAATTAAATCTTCTGCAAACCAATTATCAAACATGCTGAATAAAACTACTAAACGAAAAAAGCAAAAGAATTTGAATTAGGGGAGCATAAACCTCTACGAGTTATGGAACAATTGTAGTTACCACATGAGAGCATTACTCTGGCTTCCAACAAGTTAACGCCTAATTAAAAACAACTAAAAATCCTACGAGAGCTACAGCTGAAGCAGAATCATGTCCGGCATTGACTTGAAATTAATTTTGTTTAACTTGTTTGATTTTGTGCAATATGATTAACAGGCTTTTTCCAGGGCTTTGTTGACTCTTGTAAATTGGAGTATATTTTTTTGGTCAATTGTTTGGAGTACGTAATTGACTCTGATGATTACCATGACAATTCAAGGGCCCTCTTTCTTTGAAAAATGGCGCCGAATTATGAAGGCAAACTCGTATCTTTCGTTAGGATAATCATTTTGAACGACTTACACCACTATATCCTTTTTCTTATTCTTTCTCTAGGGAATGAGGAGTACGTAGTTTAAAAAGAACGAAAAATACACTTTTCTAAAAGCTTAGGAGAGTTTAGAAATCCAATCAATGAAACAAAACATTTACCATGATTTTGAGTTTGAATTAAATTATTATGTGTATCTTTTGTAACTAAGTACAAATTAAAAAAGAAAAAACGATTAAATTGAGCTTCTTTCTCTTTCATGAGGTGGTACCATTCAATTGAAACCAACTACAAACCTAACAAATTAACATTAATCACAATGTGTAAGGGTACTTAACTTCTT